TAATTCTTTCTTGTAGCATTTAAATTAGTGTCACAGAATCATACATTTTAGAGCTGGAAAGTACCTTAATAATTATTTAGTTTGCCTTTATTTTATATGAAAGTAACAGAGTTCCTGAGAAACAAAATGACCAGCAAGGTGTTATTTTATTAGTAATAGAAATTATAAAATTGAATTGTGAAATGAGTAAAAACAAACACTGCCATCCCACTATGGTGAAGTTCATGTTTAGTGGGTTTTTCTACATCAGCTTTTAAATAATTCAGTGCAATTTGTTTTGTTTTGTGTTTTTTATGTGTAACAAAGAACACCTAACCAGTGTGATCTTAAAAAGGAATTGAACCCTTGATAACACTGAAAAATAATGAAACTTTTAAATCCTCTAGAATGTGAAAGACTGCTCAGGGATTATAACTAATGCATTTTATTCTTATGACTTGCTGATTCTACCGACAGCTGCCTTCGGGGTGCAGTTCTAATCAATGACTTCATCCACTTGGCAATCTATACCTCAGAAACACAAATCAGAGAAAAGCATCAGCGTGTATAAGAGACCTAGAAGTTGGAATGTCAGGGGGCGCAGTTTCATTGTAATCACGAGTGTTTGGAGATTATTGGCCAACACATCCCATAGACACACATTTGTGGTCCTCATATCCCTCCAGGCGGCTACCACGACCCTTTGAGAATATAATGTCCTTTGTTATTTGCCTCTAACAACAGGATTGAGTCAGTGATGGGATAGTAAGTTGTTGGCTATTCTCTCCTTATTCAAACTTTTAAGTGACTTACCATAGATTTCCTTTTCTAAGGTGAGACATGGAGTCTTCCTTTAAAATGTGTATATCTGTGTATGTGCAGAAAAGAGATGCTTCCATGTGCTGCAGTCTACAAAGTGTCCAACAAGTTGGCAATTTGTGTTGGACCTTTAGTTCACTTTTAAAAACAGTAGACATGGTGAAGGGCAAGGAAAATGTGACTTTTCCAGTTCTTTCCATTCCATTTTTATGCAGCAGGCATATCAGTCATATATGTTTGAAGTTTGCTGTTTAATTCCCCTTTCTTTGAAAAACTCCTAAGGGTCCTTGGGAAAGGTCAGATCCAAGAGAGCCAAGGACCTTTGTGAAAACAAAGGGCAAGTGATCCACTGGGCAGAGCTGCCCAGGAAGCAGGGCAGCCCACAAAGGGTTCTGAGTGCCATTTTCAGGAGCCACAAACTCTGAGTGGACATTTGAGTAACTGGTGTGGGTGAGCAGTGACAGAATCGAAGATGTATAGTTGACCCTCCTCTTTGAAATAACCGTGGGTCTTGGACTCTGTAAGAGAAAGCAGATCAAAAGCATTGCAGCAAGCGGTTACAGGCAGAAGTGTGCCCTCACACGAAGGCATGTGAGACAGCAAGTCCTTTCGTGGGGCGGGGTGGGGGTGGTGAGCCAAGCACAGGGACACGTGTGCAGGTGAGACTGGGCACCTCAGGAGAGGGACGTCACTGGGAATCCTCTAACAGAAGTTCAAATTGAGTTTCTGCCACCATAAGGGTGATTTCATTGTCTAACACCATGCATATGTCTTGCTACAGAATAGAGATTTTGGAGAACATCTGAATTTTTCTGCTTCTTAACAAACATTATGGAAAGAACAGACTACATGTGCTTAGACATTCACAAATTCCTGGGTGAAAAGAAAGGGCTCACTTTCAGAGTGGACACCATCCGAAGTCACAGAGTCAACACCGTCCAGTAGACAGGACATAAAATCCTGCTTGAGTAATTAAAATGGCAGCAAGAGCATAGCACATATGATGATGTCTCTCTCTCGTTTCCGGTGGCATAAAGATGTATGCAACTCATTCTAGATGATTTCTGTTCCTGCTGGGTTTATTTTCATAGTTGGCATCAAAAAGCTCTCATATGAATTTCCCTGGCATTTTACAGAAGAGTCCAGCTGAGTTTCCCATCTTCCTTCCATACCACTTCATATAGGTCCCCAGAGCATATATGACCCCAGATCACCCCTTCATTGATGGCCCCAAGAGTTCAATTGGGTTTCCCACTTTCCCTCCACACCCCTTCACATATGCAGCACGTATCCACCCACCCCCCATCATTTCCGGTTCCCCTTATAATAACTTTCCTCAAAGCTGTCCTCAAAGGGTACATGATCAGAGCATGAAGAGTCTAGACTGCTTTTGTAATAGAAAAAAGTACATTTATGGAAAAGCTGCAGTATTATTAGTGTAATTCCTTAGAAGTACAGTCAATATGCCTACCTTTTGTTGAGGTTGAAGAAAGGAGAGTTATCCAGCTTCCTACCTTTGACTAGGATTTCACTGTGTAAAATGCGCCCCTTCTCTGGTAACCAAGGCTTATTTTTACAGTTTTCTGCCTTATTTTCTGCTTTTCTCACTGAGTACTTTTAATAACATTTCACTAATCTCTTGATGTCTTCCCTTCCTGCAAGCTATTCCTGTCAAGCTTTCCCAACCCTCCTGTCAAGCCCCAGAAGTCATTTTGCCTCAGGGCTAAGCATTCGAGCCCTAGCTATCCCATAGTCTACCCTTCTTTCTGTAATCTGTATACATTAAAAGAAAATCCTTTCTTTAAAATAGAGAGTATATCGCCCCTTGGGTCTTAGTTTCTCCTGATTTTCCAGTGACAACAGCAGTCAGCAAACTTCCTTCTAGACGCAGAGCTGAGCCTGTTCTTTTGTGTCCCCAAACCTGCCCAATGGAGGGCCAGTCTTCATTCCAACCACCCTCAGGACTTTCTTAGAAAGCCAGCTCCCCCAACATGCACCATTTAACAAGCATTTGTTGAGCTTTAGGTGCTGGGACATGCGTGAACTAGAGTCAAAAATCCCTGCCCTCATGAGAAATACATTCCAGGGAGATAGAAGCAACCTTGAGTTGAAACGTGGAAAAATGGCTCTCTGCAAAAGTCCGTGTCATAAATAACTTGTGGCCATCCCATACTCCTTTAATTTTTTCTTTGTGCCTGACACTTTCCATGACATTCAGAATGGGAGAGTGTGGAGAGTTCTTTGGGAAACAGAATGTGTGCTAGCTTCACTCCAACAAGGATTCTCTTTACCCAGATGACTTTGAACCTCTACCCAAGGCACTGGAAAGGCTTGTATGTGTGTGTTGCAGGGCTGTATCTTTCAAAGAGTGTCATAATTCTACCATTCAGTGGTGACTAATGAGAGGGTTATTTTTTAAGTTGTTCTATAATAAATGAACTTTTATTTAATCTTATATCAAGGAGTTAAAAATATACAGCATGCTCTTAAAGCATGTTTTCCATCATAACTCATTTTATTGACTTTTCAGTCAATCAAAATTGCAAAACAAAATCACAAAACAAGATGTTCTTACTGTTAACATGAACTTTGCATGACATTTAGGTCCCAAATAGAGTTGAGTTTTTGAGTTGAAGTCTTGCTCTGTCACCCAGGCTGGAGTGCAATGACACGCTCACAGCAGCCACTGCAGCCTCAGCCTGCTGGGCTCAGGTGATCCCTTCTACCTCAACTTTCCAAGTAGCTGGGACTACAGGTGTGTGCCCACACCTGGCTAATTTTTTGATTTATTATAGAAATGAAACTTTCAAATCTGCTCCATCTAGTTATTTTTCAAAGGAAACATTTACTGAGCAGCCCGATGATCACCTCAGGGCTCAGCAGCAGCAGGGACAGTGGGGACTCCAGCACCTTGCCCCCTCGGCATCCTGCAGGACCCCTTTCATTCCTGGAAGTGCAGTCTGAAAGCTGCTAATCTCGACCAGATCTCTAGTGTCTATGTGGAAGAAACTGCAACCCCAGGAGAGTTAGTTATTTGCTGAAAGCTGCAGCCCATTTAGCAGGACGGCAGACTGAGGCTCAGGTCTCCTGCCACACATTTGCTACTGTGGCGCGCCTTTCGGTAAAGATGTCGAGACACCTTGCCTACTGGCTGGCATTTTCCAAGAGTCAAAGAAAAATATTTAGTGAGCAAAAGGGTTCTCATGCCATGCCACCCAAGTATGTCTGGATTCGAATCTCCCAGTGAGCAGTTTTGCAACCCCCTCACCCTCGAGGCAAGGTCTTGGATGCTGCTCCCTGAGACACCGAGAAGAGCCATTGATGCCTGTGTCTTCCCAGCAGAAGGACCAGTGTTCCAGGAGCAGAGAGGGGGCAGCTTTCTCTGCTTGTCTCCTCAGTCTTAGCCAAAGGTGGGGGCCGAAGTCTTCTTGCCCAAAGAAGCTGTGGTTAACACTAGAGGCCTGATAGGCCACTGATGGCAGTAAAGCTTCCCTCGTTACTCTAAAAATGACCCAGATATCTCACCCTCTCCCTTATTAACTCCCACAGAGGATATCCTAAACCACAACCTCGTGAGTGGGCCCCGGGGAAGGCCAGCCTTGCTTCTCTTCCTTTAAAACGATGTCATCAGCAAAATTCGTGGACACTTTTGAACATACACAGACTGACAGTATCTTTACTTCTGACTTCCAGTCAAGAGAGGGAAACCAGTCAAGGCTTTCCATGGTGAGGGCACTGAGGACTTGTCAGTTCTTCCCCCGCCTGCATCTTTCTTCACCAACTTGACCTTCAGACTTCTCTGCAGTGGGATTTTGGCAGGAGCAGAGGGAACCCTCTGACCTCAAGGGAGGGCAGAAGAGAGAGGGTCTCTGGATTCACAGCACAGTAACTCACTTTAGCTCCTTTATCTAGGCAGTTTCCTGGTCTCTCCAAGCTACAGCCCACTTCCCCTCTGCCTCCCACTGATAGAGCTTTCACCGGCTGTCCTCATGATAGTCCCAGTGGGCAGCTCTTGGCCTTATCCAGCCAAAGGGGAATGACTTGACCAATTTAGAATTAACTCTTCCTATTCTAGAAAACCGAAGCCACAAACTGCTTTCTGTCATCTCCCTGTCCCTGAAACAGACACACAGATTATAGCAGCTCAGGACAATTTGTGAAACACGTTATTAACATGAAAACTACATTGTCCGTCTTTTCAGGAAGAAAATGAGATCCCTGCCAATGTATTTGTGAAAGAGCCAGTTTCCAGCCCCGTGGAAGGGAAGGAGGAGCTTGCGGATGAAAACAAGTCCCTGGAGGAAACCCTGCATACAGTGGACCTCTCATCAGATGATGAATTGGCCCACGATGAGGGGGCTCTGGAAGACAGTGCAGAGGAGAATATGGAAGAAAGCAGGGCAGAGAAAATAAAAAGATCTAGCCTCAAGAAGGTGGATAGTCTCAAGAAAGCCTTTTCTCGCGAGAACATCGAGAAAAAGATGAACCAGCTGGGAACAAAGATCGTGTCTGTAGAGAGGAGAGAGAAGATTAAGAAATCTCTCTCATCCAGTCACCAGAAAACGTCCTCTGGGAAAAGCTCCCCCTTCAAGGTTTCTCCCCTCACTTTCGGTAGAAAGAAAGTCCAAGAGGCAGAAAGCCCTGCAGATAACGGGGTAAAGTCAGAAGACATGCCTAGCAGTGAGCAGGTGCCCAACCACCAGGAGGAGGGCTCACTGGCAGAGGGGCTTTCGGAAGCATCCTTGGCCAGCGCCCTGGCGGAAGGAGAGGGTGCTGAGGGGGCAGCTGAGAAGGCAGCCTCAAGAGGGAGTAACTCGGGCATGGCCAGCAACATCGACCTGACCATTGTGGAAGAGGAAGAGGGGGAGTCGGTGACCCTGGAGCAGGCACAGAAGGTGCGCTACGAGGGGGACTACGCCCTCACTTCCGAGGAGGCCGAGCCCTCAGATGAGGAACCCATGCAGCCAGCTGTGCTCCAGGTGAACCAGACGGCCTAGCCACATCCCCAGCCTGTGCCTTCACCTGAAGCCCAGCCAGAGCCCAGGAGCCAAGGTCCCCACACCTTCCACACTGCCTGCCACCACTCTGTTGCATCCAGGCAGAAATAATTCACCACATAGTAGAAGCAGCACACATGAGACCAGGATTTCCTGGGAATGTGGCCTGTCAGGGTGCCACTTGTCATTTGCATTTAGGTTCTATTTCTATAGTATTTTTCCAAGATTGCCAGGAAGAAGTGTGGTTGAAAAATGCCGATCCATCTGGCTTGGTCAGAAACATCAGGGGATACTTAAGATCCAATCATGAAATGGGATTTTCTTTTTTGTCATTCCATAAGCTTGCTGAATAGTGTACAAGTAATGTGTTGGATTTCCACAGCACTGTGTGAAACCAGTTATTATTCTTTAAGTGTTTATCTACATGATGTAGATAAATATGTAAGCTAAAGATGTATGTTGAAGAGGAAAATATATAGAAAAGATGGAAGAGAATGTTCACTTGATAATTCACTTAATAGAAACCATTATTTTATTGCAAATGAAAAAATGGAAAGATTCTAATAGCTAACGAAGTCAGATATGTAGTGATGCCAGGACTATTGGAAAACTAAGAAGGAATTGTTGGAAAATAAGAGAAACAGAAAAAAAAGAACGTTACAGAGAATGAAAACAGAGAAAAAAGATATGTGCTTAGGAGTAAAATATTTACAATATTAACTAATTCACTTCATAAATAACAATACTAAAGAAGTTCACATATCCTGGAATAATATGTCATATCTTCAAAATATTTTTATTTTCTAATATTTTCAAATAATATAACAAACATTTCACAGTGTTAAAGCTGTATTATTTTCTTAAATAAAAGACATTACAAATATTTCTTGAAGAAAGTTCAAAAGGAGTTGTCTCTAGCATCGGAATGAATAAAAATCTTCAAAGGATAATTAGTCTAGACTGCCTTTTGTAGGAAGTTGGATCAGACTATTCTTTAAGATAATGTATTTCAAATTTGAAACAACCCTTACATTCCAAATGATGTAATGCAGACAGGTAAGATGTTAAAATCCACAGATCTGGGAAGTGAAAGATTGTTTTTCCTTTTTTGTACATAATGATAATCTCATCCCAGGTCATACTTTATTCATATGTTAATTTCACAGGATATTCATCTGCTTCTTAACTTCCTAAAGCATGCTTGTGTTTTATGTCTATGTACACATTTATTCAGACAGGGTTGTTTTTACTGCTGCCTAACATTATACTAAAATATTGCTTTATCTATTTTTAATTACAAAATGCTAATAATTTGTTAAATTATATTTAACCCAGGGAGCAAATTTCCTTCCTTGAGTATGCACCATTATAACCTTATTAGAGATAATCCAAGACAATATTCACAAACAATGTTTTGTCTTTAATAAAAAGGGTAGGATTAACAAATGTATGGATGGCAAAACCTATTCAGCTATGTCCCTATTTTTGCAATAATGTAACCTCAAATATTGGATTGTTGAACTAACAACAGCTGTGCTACAGAAGATTAAATAAACCCCAAAATAAAAAGTGTCTAACAATGTCAGTTTTTTGGCAGAACAATTTTAGAACAAGCAGAAAACATTGATTTTTTTTAAAACTCTCCTCCAAACGTAGCAGTAATGTTGATTGTTTCGGTCTTGATTTCCCCTATTAACTCTGCTTCCCCCCTACCAGCCCCCCCATCTAAGTTAGAAATCCAGGTCTCATTCTTCAAGTTTAACTTTTTTTGACATCATCTTGCCAGCTCTGGGGAGCATCTGAATTTACTGCAGCCACTTGATAAATTGGATAGCTCCATCTGCATTTTTATTGTATTATACCAGATTTTCTAATGTCTTAAATAGCCCTGCAAAAATGAATGTACTGAACCGTACATTCCGTTTACCCACGCAGCTAGACCCTTGTCTTCTGTGGTGCTGTAGACCTGGTAGAAGATTTCACTCTGGCCCAAGCATACCTGCTTAACCTTTAGGGAGTGGCCGTCACTCCTTGCAGCAGAGAAGCTGGGGACGCAAAGCTCATGTCATATTTACATTTCCCTTCCAAAATGCATTTTCATCTGTTCTTATAAAGTAGCTGTATGTCAGTTGAAAAGTGCACTAGGGCATCTTTTAAAGTTTTACTGACAATCCCATTTATTCTATGTTCCACATTCGAGGCAGTAAAATCCTAAGCAATAAAACAGAGAATCAGGGCAGATAATTGTTGGAAAACACACACGGTAGGGATTAGAGGGAGCAGCAGTTGTGGAAATGGAAGTCATTTCTTCTGTATTATTGTTGAATTATTTGCATACTGGTGAGGATGCGAAATCCCCAGATTAGATCTGCGTTCTTCCCACCCATCCAATAATCCATTTCTAATGTGACGTGCCTGCAGCCCAAGAACTGAGTTCGTTTTCCCTGAAGATGGGTTATACATTAATAAGGGCTGAGACCCGTGTCTTAGAAATAGAATTCAGGAGTAAGAAGTGTCTGTCACACGGATCACAAGTCTCCTAGAAACATAGCAACAATGTCATTTTTTTTTGCAAGATGTATTTGAAAAATACATCGATATTTGTTTCAATAGTAACATTTTCCTCTTCCCACTTAAGTATGTAGTATATGGCTGAATTACTGGTTCTTTTTACACGTGAAAATAAAAGACTTGCACTAAGACCAGTTCTACACAAAACCAAGACTTCTGGCAGGGCACAGTGGCTCACTCCTGTAATCCCAGCACTTTGGCATACTGGAGTGGGAGGATTGCTTAAGACCATGAGGTTGAGACCAGCCTGGGCAACATAGCCAGACCTTGTCACTACAAAAGGAAAAAAAAAATGTGCAGGGCATGGTGGTGCATGCCTGTAGTCCCAGCACTCAGGAGGCTGAGGCAGAAAGATCACCTGAGCCCAGGAGGTCGAGGCTGCCGTGAGCTGTCGTCATACCACTGCACTCTAGCCTGGGCAACAGAGTGAGACCCTGACTCAAAGCAAAAAAAAAACAACCCTTCTGATATCTATTTATTGTCTGATGAAAGTCCACAATGTTTCTGCTTTCAGCAGGGCTCACCTGGAAGGGCACAGTTTGACTTTCCTGCAACTCAGTTCACTAGTTGTAATCTAGAAGTTCCTTCAACACAGCCTAGCTGCCTGGATAAAGAAAGGTTATAATGAAAGTCATTTCCTACATTAAGACACTAATGCCTGAGCCTGGTTAATTCCTGCTCAAAAGTTTGTTTACTGCCCTAGAGCCCAAATCTAAGTGATTTTATATTGGATATTGGGAGAATGAAGAATTGAAGTCTGGGCAGCAATCATTATTAACAGTGCCATAGCAACCATGAGTCTTTTCCTAAAAACCAAGGCTTGGGCACTGCAAAACAAGTTTCGAATGAAATTGGCATTGTGACCTCTGAATTCGTCTTGATCTGGGTGGCAAGATAAAGACTTCTGCGGCCAGGAACTCATTCCTAAAGGGAACAGGCAGTTACTGCATTATTAAAGATGTTTTCTTAATTTTGTTTTAACCATTACATTATCCAGCAGGATTTGAAACTCGAAAATTATTTTTAACTCTCCATACAAACCGCCCTAATTAAGAAGTCACACCTTTAGCAAAACAGTTTAATGTTCCTACATTTATACACTTTCCACTGTAAAAAAAAAAAACTTTGCTAAATATTTATCGAGCAAAGCAACCTTTGATTCCTCCTATTTGTTAAAATCCCTAATGCCAAAGCAGTAAGACACAAGCATGGAAGGAAATAAATCTATATTTTTAATTATTTACTTTACACCAGGCTGGGCTGGTGTACCACAGGTCAGATGCAAACATTATCTGATTTAACCATACAAAATCCTAATTGGGAAGGCATGATTTTTGCCTCCATTTTAAAAGAGAAGAAACCTGAGACTTTTGAAGTTTCCTAAATCCAACTAGTGAGATGGAGTAGGGGAGGGACTCAAGAGTTCTTAACCACCCTCAGTCCTCATTCTTCATGTTCTAATTTAACTACACCTCTGTTGAAGGTCAGAGAAATAAGTGACTAGTTCAAGCTCAAATGGCCAGGAAGTGGTGGGGCCATTGTTCAATCCCTATCTGAAAGCCATGCTACTGCCCAAATGGACACCTAGTTTTTACCCAAAGGTGCTTAATTATAAGTTACTTTATTAGCTCTCAGATGGTATAATATCCACCTCATTTTATTGCCCCTTATACAGCATCACACACAGATGTACTTTGTAAATGATTTGGATGATGGCCATTCCAGTGCTAAAAAACGCAGCTCCCAGCTCCTGCACAGCCATGGAGAGATTATTATTCAGGTCCGCTGGGGCCACTAAGGGGCTCCTTCACTCCTTGGCCTCAGCCATTGCCAGTCACTGCAGGGTTCACTCTAGGGCAGGGTTTAATAAGAGCAAACTGTCAACAGAGATAGATACTGGCATCAGCTCATTCGAAGATGGCTCATGAAGTCTGCCTCAGACTCTTTAAGTCAAAGGAGTCACATCCCTATGTCATACTAGAGAAATCGCTGTGTCCTGCTTGGACACGTCCTCTCATAAGAAGAACAAATGGTAGATCAGTGCGCGGCGGAGGCAGGGAAGTGTGCAGTTTCGGGAAGCAGGTGGATCGTGAGACTATCGAAATCTAGCCCGTGAATATAATACCTGCAGCATCATCCAGCTGTGTTCTCAGAATAAAACAGGAGCCAGGGCCAACACGTGCCAGTGTCTTCATCTCTGTGGGCAAGAAATCAAAGCCAACCCCCTAGGCCAGCCCTCATTCATCAAGAAATGCACCGCAGGCAGCGACTTCCTCCAAAGTTCTTGACAGGGGCCACAAACTCAAATGCCTGAAGGCTCAGGACGTGAGCCAGCCAGCTCAAGGAGGCAGTGGGAACTGTGGCACATCCATTGGACGTGGGCTGTGTCCTCTCTATGGGGCACCCTTCTACTCCACCTGCACAGAGGTGGTGCCTCATTCTAACTCCCACCTGGGGAAGGAATGTGCTAGAAGCCACCCTGGATGTGGTAGGCTGTCAGTCACTACTCAGCTCCACTTTCCATGTGAGAAATCTGGCCCAGAACTTAGAACTCTTTTAAAAAGCATCAAAATTCAGATTTCTTTTTACATGAAAATCTCTGTGCTTTTAATTGTTGGCAAACTAGTTCAAATCATTTTAAACATGATGCAAGCCAAATGTAAATGCCTGCTGGCTGGATGTGGCCCAGCACAGACAATCCATTTCTGACTCTTGGTCTATAGAGACTCAGGCCTCTGGGTCTCCATCCCCTTATGGAGGCACAGACACAAGAATAGAAAGCTAGTGACAGGAATGGATTCACCTTAGGACAAAACACAACATTCTTCTTAGGGGAATATAAAATGCAAAAACACCCTTACCAGTACTTAGAAGAAGTCTTCCTCTTGCTGCTTCCGAATGTCTGAAAAGATTGTTGTCGACCAGGCGTGGCGGCTCACGTCTGTAATCCCAGCACTTTGGGAGGCCAAGGCTGGAGGATTGCTTGAAGCCAAAACTTTGAGATCAGCCTAGGCAACATAGAGAGACCCCATCTTAACAACAACAACAAAAACTAGCCTGTTATGGTGGCATGTGCCTATAGTCCTAGCTACTTTGGGAGGCTGAGGCAGGAGGATGGCTTGAGTCCAGGAGACTCAAGCCTGTCTCTAAACAAACAAAGGAAAGATTGCTGTTAATGCTTCATGTGCTGTCAATGTTGTTAACGCTTCACAT